GGGGGGTCGTTCCCAGGCTGAGAGCGGCCCCAGCCCCTGCCCCGGGCGGGGGGCGAAGGCACCAGCCGGGGACAGGGCCTTAAGGCTCATTAAGTGCCCAGCCCCTGCCCCTGGGACCTGGAAAGCAGCCCCAGTACCCCCAGTCCCTGATCCCAGTGCCCCCAGTCCCAGCCCTCCGCTGGTGTCCCTGTCCCACCAGCTCAGTACTGCCAGTCCCAGGCCAGGAGCCCCACGAGTCACGTGAGCCGCCGGTCAGCTGACCCGGCTGGGCTGGGCGGGGCGTCACCTGACCGCCGTGTCACATGACAGCGCGGCCGCTGCAGAGCGCTGGCTCGGCGCCGTCGCCTGGCCGTGCCGCCCCGGGGGAGCGGGGCTCCCCTCACCCCCCGGGGGTTTCCGGCGGGGCTGTGCGGCGTCAAACCCGCTTGCAATTAGAGCGGGTTGTTTTTGCAAGATCCTGGCTGGTCTCAAAACGAGATGGCCGCGAGCACCGGTTGTGATTGCTGGGGTTAAAACAGCCAGCCGCCCTGCTGTGGGCTTCGCAACACGGGAGTCGCTCTAGTGTCACAAAAAACAGGAGCGAAAAGGGAAAACTGGGATTTCCCCGAGTCTAACTCCTTACCCTCCGTCCCCTTCTCGTAGATCCATAGATGTTAGGGTCGGAAGGGATCGATAGATCATCGAGTCCGACCCCCTGCACTCTCAAGAGAGTTTGACGCAGCAGACCGGGGCCTTGCCCAGGTGGGAGGACACGGGGATTTGGGACCTGGTGATGACAAGGGGAAACGCTGCTTTAATGGATAATTAAATATCCGACGACTGGTTTTTAAGGGTTCCCACAGCACCTGAAACAGGTGAGCACCCCGCTCCGGCAGCAAGCCAAAGTGCAAACACCGGAAGTGATTTGCCCGCAGCCAGGCAGCAAGTTAAGGAGGTAAACCCAGCGCAGGCAGGAGGAGCAGGTGCACCTGCTGCACCGAGGTGAAAAGGAAATCTCGGGCTGAGGCCTGGAATTAGTTCCCTCTTTTTGCTGTCATGCACTGCAAAGTGAAGAGCAATTAGGCACAGTCCAGTGTAATCAGGAAATGTGCCTTTCCTCTCTGCAGTCCCTCTCCTAGACCAGACCCCACTTCGTCACAACCTTCCCAAATTAGTGGCTCTCCATTAAAAAGCGGGGTCGGACTCGATGATCTGTTCAAGTCCCGACCCTCAAAACTATGAAAAAGAAACTGCATTTTGTTTGCGTGGTTGAGATTCCTCAGCCAACTGCTGCCTAAGTCAGGGCAGTTCTCCCTCCCGCACACCTGCAAACCCCTCCTGGGCTCCCCACGTGCTCCCCTTCCCGGTCTCGGGAACAAACATAGCCCATCCTCAACTGCGCAGCGCTGGCTGTGACCGGAGCATCGTGTTGCTCTGGGATGCGCTTCACAATCTGCAGCCAAGGAGACCATCCACTTCAGCCCCCTGAATCTGAACGTGCACTTGTCACTCCCGCGTTTGTACAGTGCACAACTGTACGAGCCATCGAGCCCAACCGACCTGCTGCTTTGGAGCTGATCAAAAAGCCAGCGATAGAAGCAGGGCGCGCACCACTCGCGTGTCAGCTCCGAAGCAATCTACCATCTCCCAGTTCGGCTTCCCACTGCCGCTCCCTTTTCTTTCTGCTCCCCAGCCTCCACGCTCCAGGAGAAGACCAAGGGGCTAAAGGCTGAAGAGCTGTGTTGCATTTATTTGTGAACATGGTAAAAAAACACTCTGCTCAGATCTGATTCTGTCCTTCGGCCTGCTTCGCTTCCAGGGAGCCCAGCTTGGACTCCAGGGCTTGGCTGACCCGGCGTAGCGCCCGCTGGCACTGGGGGTATTCCTGCTGGATCTGGTGGACGATGATGCTAATGCTATGCAGCCGGCTCTGCTGCTTCCTCTGTTCGCTTTGCAGGGCGTGCTCGCTCCGGCACAGGGAGATGTACTTCCCCTCCTTGGCTGCCTGCAGGTGCTTCTGCCGGGTCTGGTAGCCCACGATTTCTGAAAGGTTCTTAGAGGAGCAACAATGAAAGTTGCTGTAAGACCAGTCTGTGCATACAAGGAGTGGGAGGATAAGGAGGACTGGACTTCTACAAGGGAGGAGCAGAGCTCATCACATCTTGAAACAGAATGGATCTTAAGAGGGGCAGTGCCATGGAATCCCATCCTAACAGCTGAAAGGGGCACCCCCCATTTGCAGTGTTATGTGAATGGTCCCTGCATTAAGATCAGCTCAGCGGCTCCCCAAAGTCAGACACAGGCGTAGCACAGAAAGCTGAAAGACCAGAGAAAGTTCTGCCCATTTGAAACATCACCGAAAGTCAAGTCAGAGTTGGCTTGAACTGGCTCTCACACAAGCTGTGCTATCTTTCGCTCTAGCCAGCTGGTTCTCGGGACAAAATGTTTCTTTCCTACCTTTCAAAGAGTGTGTGCGCGCGTGTCTGCTGTCAGCCTGATGCTCCAGTTTAATTCTCCGCTAAATAATAAGAGGAGGGCACGAACATCAGCACTAGAGATGCCTTCATGTCCAGAACTCCCACTGACTTTTATGACTGTATCTAGGGTCATCAGGCATCAAGTATGGGGAAAACGGGGTGAAGACTGTGCTGAGGGAGGAGTCCGACAAACAAAGACGCACTGGCTGCTAGTTTATCAATGCGAAATATTAGAAGATGAGGGTCTGCAAAGCAAACTGAAGGTAATCAGAGCTGAATTTCTCCTAATCCAGTTTCATGTAAATCTAGTTTTCATGTTAACTACTATGAGAGTCAGCCTAAGAGAAAGTGCTTCAAGCTGCTGAGGTAAAGGGGTTTCCTTTGCAGCTCTAGAAGGGAGCTGCACAATGCTGATATAACCAGCCTGATGTGGCAGGGGCTGTGTGAACTGATGGGAGGAGAAAACAGGAACTCCTGTAGTTTGTGTGTGTAGCAGGGAAACAGTCGAGCTTACCCAGCGTTTCTTGTCCTGCAGCTGCTCTATGTCTGCGTCCAGAGCATTGGACTCAGCCTGCAAACTGGAAACCTGCTGCTGCCTTTCCAGAAGGGCGGTGCTGAGAGACGCCTGGGTGTTCTCCAGTTCCAGGATTGTTTTGTTGCAGTCTTGAGCGCTCTAATGAAGAGAAGGGGAAAAAACAGAGGTGCTGCTTTCCCAGCCACGCTGCATTGCTACACTATTGCCTGAGATGTTCCCCGTCCTTCGGGGGCATTTGAAGACGGCACCTCCTTTTGCAAGCACCCTGTGCGGCCCTGAAGGCACAGGCATTTGTGTGGACAGACGCCTGCGAGGAAACTAGAGCATTCTAACGACGTGCTAGTAAAGGCAGCAGTTCAGTCCCATCTCCCTGATCTCCTACCCCGCGCGTCGCCGTGGCTAGGGGCATGTTCCTGTACTTTTCTTTACATTAAGATGAAGATGGCACAGATGGTGCTCAAGGCAATGAGTATCTCCAATCCCAGCCCCAGGAGTTCAACGAGGAAAGGATAACTGAGGGACAGAAAGCAGTGCTGAGGGGCACGCAAAAATACCCTGTCAAATCCTCCTGACAGGTCAGCTGGTTTGGCCTGTGACCTGAAGGATGATCGTGGCCAAGAGCAGGGGATGATTGGAAGTGTGTCAGGGACAGCAGAGGATCTTGTCCTTCCATAGTCTGATGGTAGGTCATAACATAGCTGATGCCAAGCAACACCCAAACTCCTTCTAGCTGCAAGCCAAGTGCACGTCAAATAAGTCCTCACTGCCTTCTCCACCTGCTCACCTTCTGGGTTTCACTGATCTTCCTCCTCAGCTCCTGTTTCTTGTAGTGAAAGTCACACTTGGTGATTTGTTTCTTGTCTACTTTGCTCTGACCCTCGCCCTGCGTGGTGATGGTCTCTCTGCGGGACACAGCTGCCTCCATATCTCGAATCATCTTCTCCTGCTGCTTCGTCAGCTGGCTATAGCGGACCTGCCAGGGAGGGGGAGAGGAAGTCTGCAGATACCCGGTGGTCACAAGTGGCACCCTATTACAAAATCTTTTATGCAGCAGATTCCCATTATAGACATTGGTGGGAGTCAAACCCTCACGCTAGATCCTGAGGCAGGCTTGTACAGCAGAATTCGGGGGGCTGTCAAACCAGTAGCTAACCCCTTGCTGGCCTGTCCAGAATTATATTCTACAGGTTTTCAATGCCATAAACTCATTTAAATGTCATAATGTAAAGGGAGAACAGAAGTATCCTGAAAGAGGAAGGAAAGGATTGCTTCTCTGAATCAGTGGACTAAAGGAGAGAGAGAGCTCAGCCCTCAATAGACAAGTTTCCTTCCTAGACAAGGTCTTATTTTTCCTGCACTCCAGTTTCCAAATAACACATGTGTAGTGGCAGCCTAAGCTCATCCCAGCTGCTGGACAGTAAGACCTCTGTCCCTGACACTGCTGGGAGGCATGGGGATAATACCCCTCCAGGTCATTTCCCATCTGCTGGCTGACCCCTGGGAAGCTGGATAGCCTGTGTGCAATTCTCCGCATGCCCCAACAGCCAAACTTACCTGCATCCTATGGATTTCTGCTCTCATGGCTCGGATCTCGCCTTGCCCTGTCTCCGAGTCCACCGTAGCACGCATCTCCTTTGCCAGCTGAATCTTCTTCTCCCACAGCATGATCTGGTGCCTTCAGGGACAGAAGGGAAAGGGAAGTCTTTTTGTGAAAAAGCAAGCAGTGCCTTGCCTTGACACGCTGTGCTAGTGCACTGCAGCAGCTCACAACAAATCTAAAATATAACGGTTCTGCAGGAACCTAAGAGTCTATGTAGGGGACGTGCCACCAGCCGCTGCTGCCTAGCAGTTCCCAAAGAGGCCTTGCAATGACAGAAAGGGGCAGAGTGCAGAACACAGAGGGTTAAAGTCATGGTTCCCTACCGCACTGGTGCAATTTGGGCAGTTTTAGGGACTTAACTCTAGGCCCTGCAGCTGTCCTTCCACCAGCGGCCGCCTGGGTTTACCTCCCACAGCTCTAAGCTGAGTTTCCCCTTCCCCCAGCCCCTCAAGCTGGCAACCTCTGCTGAACAGAGACAAGCCCCATGTGAGTATAGGGAGACCAAATTCCCTCCAGAACAACTCGCAGAATCAGGTTCGCGCTAGGTTAGAGCCGTGGCTGTGGGTGCAGCAGTAAGGGGAACACTGAGCTGAGGTTATTGTGCTTGTACCTGGTCCACAAAAGAAAATGCTCTGAGATTCCACTGGCTTTGAAAAGTCACTGCACTCCCCACACCTTTCCGAGGGCACGAGGAGCCACGTGAGGAGCATTTACAGCTGATGCTGCCTTAGTGAAGGGTAACCCAGATGCATACAGGAGTGCAGAGACTGTGGCATACAACGGGGGCTCTCTGGGGACTCACTCTGCTTCCACCAGGCTGTTCAGCAGTCTCTCCTTCTCCTCAGTCAACCGGTCCAGCTTCTCCTGCATCTCGATCGATTCCTTCTCAGCAGCCTAGAATTAGGAAGCAGAAGCCAACACGACATGGCTTCATCAGACTCAGCACCCCTGGCAGGCTCATTCCTTGCCTCTAATCTGCATGCCCTCCCTAACCCCCCTGAGCCATATATTATTTAATTATCTATATCTCCCCTGCCTTCTGGCTCCAGACTAATGCAACAAACTTCTTCCTTCTGGTAAAGGAAGTCACTCTCCCTGCACAGGAAAAAAATCTGGGGCAGCTTTCTAAGCACAGCTGCCCATTTCCATCCACATGCATGGCTCTGTACCAGAGGCAGTCGTTAGCAATCAAGGGACCTCATCTTCTCTGACACTGTGTCTCCGGTAACATGGGACCTGTGAGAGTCCAGCCGGCTGTTGCGTGCGAGGCTGTGCCTTGAAGTGGAGGAGCAAAACCTCCCTACCTTGAGGGAGCGGACAAATTCGTTCTCCGTGATGGTGTTGCCATACTGCAGCTCCTGCGAGCTGTTGCTGTTCTTACTGATCAGCATGTTGAGCTTTATCATGTCGTTGGACATGTTCCTCATATGGCGCTCAATGTCCTTCTGCTCATTCTTCTCCTGCTGGATTTCATCTGCCAGAGAAGGGGGAGGAACAGACAGGACTTCAATAAATGGGAGGCAGAGAACGTTCTCCGGGGCCCTGAGAAGACAGAGCACGGGTCTGCAGGGTGGTATTTGAGCTGATCAAGCTGGGATCAGAGCTGTCTGCCCAAAAGCCTCCAGGGACCTTGCCAAGCCTAAAGCAAACCAGTGCTTTGAAGGTGGTTGTTTTGAAAGTAGGTGGAACTGGCCAGTAATGGCTGCTATAGTCTCAGGGCTGGACGCTTACCAGCTATTTGAGAAAACATCACAACCTTTCTTAGACAAACCACAGCA